GTGCAGAAAATGTGTATACCTTCCATCCTTCAGTATATTGGTCACGTGTCTCTTCAGATTACAGATGCAGTTTGGGGCCAGTATGTTTTCCTCAGCCATATGGTTCAGCTGGGTGGAGAGCATGAATGCTGCAGACGGTTTAAGAGAGGAAAGTCAGACAAGAGTGACCCAGGTTCCCCCTACTTATGAGCCTCTTGAGAGCAATAGCTTAGTGTTTAACCCCATGCAAGTAGTCAATTTAGTAGACCATCTTTTTAAAAAGCCAATTAAAATGTAATTTCATGTAAGAGATTTGTCAGCGAAAACTCGTGACTCTCAATAATTTAGAACAGATAGTTAAAATGGGTACATGAACATGTTTAAAACTTCAATGCAAAATACATCAGTGAAGAAACTTAATAAAAACCTTACATGACAGAGTGTGCCTTCCATCACTCATCATCACCCGAAAGCGAGAAGGACCATTTCCTCCATCAAGCTTGCGAATATTCTGAAAAACAATATATGAATAAAACTGTTCAATAAATTAAAAAAAAAAAAAAAACACACATTTTTTGACCAATATTGTGTCCCTTATGTAAACTTGCACATTCTGTGATTGCATTATTTAAAGTATAGAGGGTATTTAGTTATTGCCTATGGGCCTGTACTCCGTATTCCCAGATGCTTTTACAGTGAGATGGATTCAGTAAGGATGATTTTCCTGTAGTCTTTCCTCTTAAGTAAAGTCACTGCTCAGAGAGAGGTTTTAACTAAGAAACTGTAGCCTTTTGAAGTCTTATAGTGATTTGTCAGACCTGCCCCTTAAGAGGGGTCAGTCCCTAATTTTTTTTTACCAAATCTTTCACCATTTTTAAACATGTTTGAGCCATTACAACATAACCACAGGAAAGTATGTGTTCAGGGGGAACTGTCAAGGGCCATCAAAACAAGTTATAAGATATGAACTGAAAGACCTCAGTTTGACATTTAGATTTTTATAAATTCAGTAAAAAGGACTGCCACAAGTTGAACGTGTAATGAAGTGACAAAATCCCAACAGAGCATCCAACTGTGTGACTTGATTATTTACTTTTTCAGTAAATAATCGGAAAACCGACAGAAAACCCAGTGTCCCATTGTTTGTTTGTGCTCCTGTCACGGGCAATAACAATCAAACCGACAGCAGTTTTTAATAGAGCTTTTGAGCCCTGTACATATATTTAGCTACTAAGTTAAGAGGGCTCAAAACTGACGCAAAATCTCGACCCCACACACTACACATACTTTCAGGGACAGAAACCAGCTTGAAGATAAAACCATTAAAAAAAAGTTAGATGGGGACTACGGACTGATTTTTCATGGAATGACCTAGAACTAATCCAGCTTTGTTTTGCAGAATTCATCCCATCTCATTTAAATATATGTGGTTGTTGACGGAATGGTGTAATATTAAATATACATTTTCAAAAAAATAAATAAATAAATGAATAAATAAGCTGCTACTCACCACCAACTGAAGCACTGCGTCGCTGACACCGGTGCCATTTGAAAGAGCCTATAAATACAAACACACAGATTATTATACAGATAATAAATTCTACATTTAATACAACTATTGTCGAAAACAAAACCACCCTTTCCCTCCTTGACTTTAACACATTTTGGTACAATCACAGTTTTTAGAAGACACAAACGTAAATAACCGCTAATATCAAATTAAGCAACCGTCGAACAACGTTCGCAGTTCTGATTACAGCGGATGCAAAAATATGCAAACAAATGTAAGATAGCGAACAACTCCACCTAAACAAAGACACCATTAAGTAGACGGCGCCAATTTACATTGAGCTTCTACAGCTTGCAGTATTAAACAGCGAAATATTTATGCTGTAAAAATAAACCATACCT